TATACTCCCACGCTGCCGATCGTTCGTGGAGGCCATAGGTCACCGCTTTGCGTATGACGCTGCCCTGGAGGCCGGAGTCGTGCCCGCCTTGCTCGAACTCTACGTTGCCGATGCTGTGCAGTGCGAAGGGGCGTGGTATGCTGAGCACGCAGGCCTTGGTCGCATGGCGCAGAGTGTCGCCGTCGAGGACGCTGTTGAAGCTGTTCTGCCTCACATGGAACGTCTTATCAACGATTTGGGGATGGCGCCCTACTTGACTGCTCCCATTAGGTCCGACGACGCTTGGAGTAAGTTCGAGAATGGTTTGGAAGTTGTCGGGCAACCTTCTCTAGAAATCAAGGACGATGTCGCTACGCATAGTACTGCAAGCGGTCTTCCCCTTTTGGCTCGCCTGTAGTTTGCTCGTTTCATACAATGCTAATTCTTACGACACGACATTAAATACTGTACCGTGAGCGTGAGATACCATGATGGTGTAACAAGACGAAAGGTTACGATGAGCCGGAGCAGTCCGTCAACGCTCAACACCGAGAACAAACTCTACACGGCCTGTAATCAAGCCGACGCCTTCTCCCTCGCCGCTTGCTCGAGTTCAGCATATGAACCACTCTTCAAACACATGCCACGGAAAATGCTGTCCTCCTTCTGGATCAGCGCCCACGGCGTGTCGAACTCGGCGACCTGCCCCTTGTCCAAAACGATGAGGCGGTCGTAATCAATGATTGTGCGCAGGCGATGGGCCACAGTAAGGAGGAGTGCACCGCCGAACTCAGTGCGAATCGCGGCCTGGATCTTCGCGTCGGTGGCATAGTCGATGCTAGACGTAGCCTCGTCAAGCACGACGATCGAACTCCGGCGTAGCAGGGCCCGCGCCATAGCGATCAGCTGGCGTTGACCCTGAGAGAAGTTCGTTCCGCCGGGTGAAACCTGGGTGTCGAGGGTGATAGGCGCCTTTGAATCAATGTCCGTGGCAGACGCGAGAGATGCCTCGGCGGCGTGATCGGTGCCCGTCGAGCTTCCGCCCGGTGAACCTGGACGAGAAGCGGCACGTGAGGCCTGGCGGGACGTCTTTTGAGAGTTGTATGCGGCATCTGTAAGCAGCTGTACACGGTGGAGAGCGTCTAGACACTCGATATCGTCGTGCTCATCTGTGGTGAAGTTCGTGAGCAAAGGTGGGTAAGATGCGAATTTGGGCATTTCAGCTTACCGAAAGGATCCAGGTTCTCTCGAAGAGTCCCTGAGAACAGGACTGCATCCTGAAGTACGTATGCTATGCGTTCCCGGAGGTCATGGAGGCCTATGGAGGTGATATCGACGCCGTCGATGATGATACGGCCCTCAGTCGGGTCGACAAAGCGTAAGAGACTCATAGCCAACGTCGACTTCCCGCTTCCCGTGCGGCCAAGCAACCCAATGCGCTCTCCACCTTTGAGAGCGAAAGAGACGTTGTGCAGCACCGAAGGGAGTTCGGGAGCGTATTTGACCGTGAGGCCATCAACGACGACGAGGTTCTGGCTGTCACGGGCGGGCCATGTGGCTGGGGGCCGACTGTCTTCGATGACCATCGGGGGCTCTTGAGGAAGGTCGAGATACTCAACAACACGTTCTACAGAGCTAAGCAGGTAATCAGTACACGGAGCAATGGGTAGTCTTAGGGACATACTTCAAGTCAAGCTCGAGACTCGTCCAGAATCGGCAGGTCCAGTAAATTGAGTTCGTGAATGCCATGGCCGACGTGATACAGATACCGGCGATACCGGCCGACACGAAGCCAGACAGGGCGAGGAAAGTGGTAAGGCCAACCGCAAAGGCGCCCAGGAGATCGAAGTTGAGCAGCAGCCAACGGTTCGTCATCCAGAAGTTGTACCACATCTGTGTACAATAGTCAGTTTGCATTGCCACACAGAAAGCCGTACAAGGTATACCTTTGTCATACTGTCCAGCCTCTGGAAGAGGTCGTCCAAGAACGGACGCTCCGCCGAGAACGCGCGCACGGTAACAATGCCCTCCAGCATCTCTCCAAAGCCCGAAAAGATAGGCGAGCGCGCATTGCTCTCCATCCTCCGAAGATCGCGTCCCGTATTGAGGTACCCAATAGCGAGGGAATAGTACACAGCGCCGAGTGCAGCCGCAGGGACCAAGAAGATCGGGAAGATATACGCGATCGTAAGAATAGACGCGATGAACGACGCCATGCTCGTGTTTACAGCCTGCAACGACGACGCCAGACTCGAATCGACCGTCTCGATATCCTTGCTGAACCTGTTCATAATGCGCCCGCTCGGGGTCGTGTCCATCCAACGCATCGTCGCGCACACCACCGTGCGCAGAAGGCGCCCGAAGAGCTGCCGCGAGGCGCGCAGTGCGCCCGTGTACTGCGTGATGATGGTGAGCACGCTCGTGAGCATGCTCGCGATGCCGATGAGCGCGAAGATCCCGACGTAGAAGAGCGGGTGCTGCTTTGCGCTGGGGAGCATCATCGTAGTCGCCTCGCGCCCGTAGCCGTGGAAGTCGTGTACGGAATGGGGGATGACGAGGCCGGCGGAGGGCCCGTCGACGTGTTGGACTGCGAGGGAGGTGAAGCCGGTGCTGGCGGAGACGCCGTTGGTGTGGACTTCGCCGTAGGACTCGCCCCAGGTCTTGATCCAGACCTTCTCGATGATGACGAGGCCTTGAACGCAGACGATGAAGAACGCAAGGATGGCCCACGTCCAGTACGACCTGTGCATCACCGTAAGCATAGGATCCGAGATAGATGTTGTAGGACACGCACGATGCTTGCAGATACGTCTTGTAGATGTTCCACTTGACAGCGCCAGCCTGGCGCTCTTCATCCTTAACCAGCTTCCTTGGCTTTTTCACCTTCTTCGCATCCCCACCCTCTCCCTCGCCCTCAACAGCGACCTCCTCAGGCGTCTTCTCCTCTTCCTCCTTCGCAACCTTCTTCTCCTCCTTCGCGACCTCAGGCGCCTCAGCGCTCTTGATAGCCTCCAACACGCCCTGCGCGCGCAGATCCGCGATCGTCCCCTGCGTATCGATCCGCCCGTCGAGCATCCGTACGAGATAATGCGCGCCCGGAAGCACAAGATCGACATGATGCGTAACGAGAATGACCGTCCGCCCAGCCAACAACGGGCCCATCAGCAGATTCTCAAACAGTGCCCGCGCAGTATGGCTATCCACAGCGCTCAGCGGGTCGTCGAGTAGCACATACCGGCTGCGCGCATACACCGCTCTTGCAAGCGCCACGCGCGCCTTCTGCCCGCCGCTCAGACTCACACCGCGCGCGCCAATCTCGGTGCTATCGCCGTCTTCAAGCACAGCGAGATCAGGGCGGAGCGCGCACGCGTCCAGCACGGCATCGTAGCGCGCCTCGTCGAGCGGCGCGCCGAAGAGGATGTTCGCGCGGATGCTCTGGTGCCGCAACCACGGCGCCTGTGCCGCGTACGCGATCGTGTGGCTCAGCCCGTCGGCGCCGACGTGCGACGCGTCCTTGTGCATGAGGAGCTTGCCCTCGAGCTGCGTCATCTCGCCCAGGAGCGCGAGGAGGAGCGCGGACTTGCCCGACGCGGTGGGGCCCGTTACGACGGTGAGCTTGCCCGCGGGGAAGCGCACGCTGATGTCGCGCAGCTCGAAGCGTTGGGATGCAGTATCGGACGCGAGCGAGGCGCGGTCGGCTTCCACGACGATGTCGGCCGGAACAATAGTCTCGCCGCTCGGTTCGGGTGTGTGCTTGCCCTTGCCCTTCTTATCGTCCTCTCCAGGCTTCTCCTCGACCTCGTTCCACTTGAACACGCCCCGCTCGATGCCGAGCACGTCGTAGATCTCCGCGACGTGTGCGGGCGCGGACTTGAGGCTGCACACCTGCCCGTCGACTTCGTCTTCGGAGAGGAACTTGGTGATGCGGTCGATGGCGACTTTTGTTTGGAGGAGCTGGACGACCCATGTGGGGAGGACGTTGAGCGGGACGCGGATCATCTGGAAGAGCGCGATGGCCTGTGTGGCGGGGTAAGCATTTGTGCGATGAGAGGCGGTGAGGGGATGGGACGTACGGTGAAAGCTGTCGCGACGGTGAGCTCGTTGCCGAGGGCGACGTATACCGCGAAGGAGACCGTCGAGACGAGCACGGGTGCAAGCGACCAGAGAGCGTGGAACATGACCGAGTTCAAGCGCGCTATAGATCCAAGTCAGTCTTCGCCGTACTCCTGTAGTGACCAGAGCACGTACCCTTGATCAACCACTTCATCTCCTTCTCCCTCGCATCCAACGCCCTCCCGATCCACCTCTCCTCCCACGCAAAGAACTTGATAAGCTTTACAGCGCCAATCAGCTCATTCAACACGCCCATCCTCTTGTCCCTCGCCGCCATCACGCCCTTCTGAATCCGCACGCTCCGTTCCGTGACGAACTTGTTCAGCGGCCACGCCGCAACGAGCACGCCGAACCCGGCGAACGCGCTCCACCCGAGCAGGCGGTACAGGAACACGGAGCCGAGCACGAGCTCGAACGGCGCGGAGTACAGGAAGTACAGCGACGAGATCGTCATCGGCGTCCGATTCGCGTCCGCGGCCATAAGATTGACGATCTTCCCGATATCCGCGCCCGCGCGCGGGTCGTCCGCGCCCTTGCCCTCCTTCCCCTTCGTCTCCCTCCCCTTCTTCCTATCAGCCGCCGCCGCGGCGCTCTCCTTCTGCTCCGCCGATATAACGCCCGAAAAGTCGCGCCTTTTTAGTGCTTTGTCGTAGATGGCGGCCATGAGCTCGATGCGGATGCGCGTGCTCGCGCGGCGGCCGTACCAGAGGTGCTGCAGGTCCGCCTCGGTCTTGATGACTTGGCACACGAAGGCGAGGAGCGTGAATATGTATGCTTGGGCGCGTTTGGCGGGCGTGGGGTCGTCGATGGCGTCGAGGATGCGGCGGAGGAAGTAGGGTGCGGCGTAGTTGAAGAGCACCGATATGTAGGTGCCTATGAAGTCGATCCTGTATTCAAGTAGGTTAGTGTTTTGCAATGAGATATAGGCTAGAGTAGATGGCGCGTACATGAGGTCGAGGGAGTTGGCGGCCCATATGCGCCGAATTAGCGAGGAACGAAGGATAGTGGCGAATTTGATGTAGACGGGCCGCGCGCGGATGGTTGGGCCCAAGTTCCAGACGTCGCTGTCGTTGAGAGTAGCATGAGTGCCCTACAAGCAGCGTGAGCAACACTCAAGACTCGTGTATCATAAAGACGTGCCTTTTTGACAAGAGGATAAACCCAGCTAAAGGTACACCACTGCCAAAGCGTCGCGAAGTCCTCAGGCGTCACCTCCTGACCCTGCCAAAGCGCATCAGCAAAACAGTCCGGTTCAAACGGACAAAACTGCGTCGGGCGCGCGCTGACTCACGATTTTTGATCTGTCCAGGCGGGAAGTGGGTACGCCGGTGGGAATGGAGAACACGACCACGAGTAACAGCAAGATAACGACCAGGTTGACGATGTGCGCAGCCAGCACCACGCGCGTGGGGAGCGGAATGCCGTCGATGGCGTTGTCGTATGCGAGGCCGCCGAGCTGGAGGGTCTCTGCGGCGAGATGGACGAGCAGGAGGGCGAAGATGTCGAGCGGCGCGGTGACGGCCGGGCGCGCGACGAGGCGGACTGTCGCGTACAGCCAGCTCAGCGCGCTGACGTATGCGCGCGCGACAAATACGGGGTTCAATGTCTGGAATAATTCGAGGGAGCCAACGAAGAGCCAGACGAGCGCCTGTGCGAGCGACAGCCCGGCCAGGACCAGCGTGCGCCACAGCGGCGGGCGCGGCGCTTCCAGCAGTACCGGCTCCTCGGCATTCTGCGCGGCACCGATGTCGAGCGCTTCGGCCTGCTCGTAGCTCAGGTATCTCTTGAACGGCGTAGATATCGGGCGGAGGAGACGGCGCGCGAAGCCGGGTTTGGGCGTTACGACGGTCAAGAGGATGAAGAGAAGTATGGCGGGCAGCAGCAAGCCCCAGAACTCGCGTACACAGCTCGCGGTGAAGTCGACCGCGTCGGCGCCGTCGCAGAGGACGCCCATCGTGGTACGAGGGCAACAGGCACTACCGGATATGCGAGATAATACACGACCCTTGGGCGCGGGTATCAAAGCGGCGCGCGCGGAACCGGGATCTCGACAGTTCAGCATTCTATTAATTGCGCATATTCTGATTGGCGCGCCACACGGAATTGCCTTTCGAGGTAGCTGGTCTGCGTATGCGTGACAGGTTCGACAGACAGTGAGCTAAGATCGAAGCTCTAGTTAGTTGACTTCGTGAAGCTTGGAAGGTTGTACATGGCGCGTAAGAGTACCTGCTCGGTGCCGAGCTAACCGGCGGCGATCAGACTGGCGCGCCGCGTAATTGCCGCACTGCGCCGCCGCGCTTGCGGCTTGTCTTCAGCGCCCATGATCCATCTCAATCCCTGTTCACTCAGCTACGAGAACACCAACTACTTACAGTAACATCGGGCGCGCAGAGTCCCGGATTTGCAATAACGTCCCTTGATTCCTCTATCATCCGTGGACACATCCCTCAACCGTCGCGTCACAGCTCTAGTCTGCGGTATTCAATCCACACGCAAAAGATATACGACCCGGATCTTATCGCAGGACCACCGTATGGCGATGCCGCCAGCCTCGGCGTCGCTGTAAGTATGCGGCATGATGAGTGCCCTCGCGGCGTTGCATGCGGCCGGCACCGTACATGGATGCTTGCACGTCGGTGACGTAGGCTTCGCGATGCCGTGACCTAAATAGTACCCAGCATCGATTCGGATATATCTGGTCATCTCGAGTATAATGTTATACCTGAAGGTACTGGTAAATCCTTGGTATCAATACACGCGGTGGATAGTATATGAGTAGATGCCTTTTTTCTTAGCCTACCACTTTATCTACAGTCAATATAGTTACTCAGGAGCAGAGTAGGTCTGCGGTTCGACGGGCGTGGCGGCGCGACGCAAAGTAAGTACGCTGTGCTGACATGGCGGCGAATAATCAGTTTATTATAACGCCACGCTTCCGCCTCTGGCTGAGGCCTCGAGGCTGAGCTGTACTGCCCACCTGTCAATGAGAGAGACTGAACATGTACCGAGGCTCGGAGGCCGGAAATAACGCAGCGTGTGTGCCGGCGCCCGGGCGCGTTTGATGCCCCTGTCCGATGTCGCGCGACGCGCGTCAAGCTTCAGACTGCTGTGACCGCTCCGCCATCGCCTGCATAAGTAGATGTTTTTGGGCGGCTGCTATCTCCCTTCGTTCTGTCTCAAAGGGTCACATACGCGAGCTATACAAACTTACCAGGGCGGTACATCCTATGCATCGCAGTGTGAGCTGTGCGTCTATGCCTGGGAAGTGGAAGACATACTAGCATGCGGGAGTATTATGCAGAAGTCAGTTACACTGCCACGGGCGCCTAATACCTGGGTACTCCTCCAGCTGGCAAGTATGCTCACTTGCTAGCTCCCTTCACCACGGCCGTGGCCACAGCACGCTTGCTCGACAACTCTCATTCGACTCTTCGTAATGCGCGAGAGGAACTCCGACCCCCCTGAGGACTCGCCACTCCCGCTCACGTTCCCTGGCCTACTCAACGCCGCTTTGGGCGAATACCGCCAGTCTCTTAATGGCACCTTGCTCAGTGAATATGAATCGCTCATCGGGGACTTCGCACGTTGCGCCACATGTGATGAAACGCTCGACGTGCTTCGAAGGACATCTCAACGGCTGAAAGCTAGCCGTCAAGGAAGCCGGACGTCACAGGCACTCGCGAAAGCTATAGCACCACTAGTACGTGGACTCAACGCTGTTCTGGAGACGGTCTCGGAGACCGCTTCTTCTGCGGTACGCGCTCAAGTTGTCAAAATCCCGTCCTCGCTGATCGGAACTCCATAGGGTGTTCCAGGAGGCAAAGGCATATTTGCTGCCATAGCCGTACTCTTGAAGGCACTCCTCTTATCGATTGCTCTAGCGCGTTACTGATGCGTCAGGCAGGCTGCAGATCGCACGCAGTTGACCTCAGATCACCTGGAGAAGTTATTCGCTCGGATGCACACGTGTGTCGAGCGCTTGGCAGTACGATTGCCAGCTCCGATGTCAAAAGCGGCGGAGAATGTTGCTGTGAAACTGCTGGTACAAACCTTGACAGTTCTGGCTCTGGCGACCAAGGCTACGCAGAGAAGCTACGCTCGTGAGAGCCCATCTCAATCTCAACCCGCAAATCCGCTCATGTTTGTATCACTCTAGGGAGATTTTTGGATGAGCTAATCGGCAGGCCGAATGCTGTTCAACTCGCGCTGGAGGCATTGGAAGAGATCACGGCCGAGGAGCTAGGGCTGTCAATTGCTGAGATCTCCGTCGGGGTTCGACATCTGCAAACCGATGTTCAGACAATGCAGACAGTGCAGAGTGCGTACCAGTCATTCAATATGTCCCTCTGGGATTGGTAGATATCAAGGTGCATTAAGTTCACCGATGTTCAGGACTACCCGACGATATACGCCCGATCTTAGAACACACGAACAATACAACTGAGGCGATACGCATCCAAGGTGACGCATTCTTCCTTCATGCTTGTAGATGCTTGTTCACTTACCTGCGAGTAGGCCGGGCTATGTTCAATATGCTTGAACAGGTTCATGATACTCTCATGACCGCCGCATGTGAGTCTGATGGGGTACGATACCATCAATGCTGGGCTCACGATCATTCAGCCCCAGTGAGAGAAGGCTTCGGAGTCTCCGCAGTCGCTTTGGCGACTCCAGAACCAGCTCGTTTGCCAACTCTGCCGTCCCGTTTCCAGCTGGAGCAAATGGGAAGGCACCAAACGCACGTGCAGCACGGCTCCCTCCACGCGCTGATTATCGGCGTCGACATCTACGAATCTGAATATGTCGGTGATCTTCGCGGCGCCGTCTCTGATGCCCACGCCCTGGGCGATTATCTACGGACAGACCTGCTTGTTCCAAAGTGCCAGATAGCGGAGTTGAGTAACGAGAACGCAACGCAAGCAGCTATCTTGAACCACATACGCTCGCTCTCCTCGTGCAAAACTTTGAAAAAGGGCGATCCCATACTCATATACTTCGCGGGGCATGGAAGCAGGGTGGAAAACGAGTTTGGCGACTACCTTTCACTATTACTTCCCTACGACTGTATAGTCCAGAACGGTACAGGCGCACACCGTCCGAGTAGCCAATTATTTGGACGAGCCATATCGTCTTGGGGCCTCCACATGCTGTTGAACGAACTGGCCAGTGAAAAAGGCGACAACATCGTACGTGCTGTGTCTTTGAACCTACTGACTGCTTACGTATCTCCTATAGACCGTTATCACAGATTGCTGCAACTTCATGGTTGGTACTTATGCGAAGATGGATGAAGATCGCTGTAGAGTACCGATGAGATCTCAACTGTACCCCGTCCCAAGGTACGATGGTGTTCATCGCTGACATCCGATGACTGAGAGAGCCGACTCTAGACCGTGTGTGTTTTTGGCTGCCTGTCGTCCAGAAGAGTTCGCCTTCGAAACCCGTGACGGCGGCGGTTTCACCGGAAAGCTTCTTTCAACCTTGCGCTTATACGCCACACAACTCGACTGTGTCACGTATCAGAACTTAATCAGCAGCATTCCTGCCATAGGAGGGTGCGCGTTGTATCTTCTGCGACGCGATCTTCGATGACGAATCATAGAATTTAGGCAAACACCTTGGTGCGAAGGGCGCAACGCCGACCGCATATTATTCACCACTCGCACCATCAATAACACGTGTCAGGTTTCAGTCTGGGACTCCTCCAAACGCGAGTACCTGATGCAAGCAGGAAACCTCCATGGTCTGACACCGGGTGCTCGATTTCACGTTTACCCCTCCTGTGCCTCTGTAGCCCATGGGACACCTTCCGCAACCATGGTGGCAACGGGAGTCAGCCCTCTCCACACCCTTCTACGGTCAGAATTGCCTCTTCCTTCATCGGCGATACTTCCTAGTTCGGCTGGTCTAGTCTTGCAGGCCGAGTCGTCGATAAGAGATGGGTTCACTCTTCGCCTGTATCTTGCACCCGAATCTGTTGATTTGGCTGGCATGCTTGCAGGAGTGACTCTCAATGCGGATTACACATTGCTCTTGTCCGAACACGAGGTGCACGCCGATATCAGCATCTGCAAGCGTGGAGACCGCATCGAGTATGTCCTTCGCGATCATACGTACGGGACATCCTCGTTGTGTGAGACAACGATGGTCGACATGCAGCATGTTAACTACGTCTTGCGCGCCGCGAGTCGGTTTCTCAAGCGCCTCCGTATCAAATCAGACACGGAGGTTCTGAGCAAACGTGTTGATGTTGTCTTTCATCAACTACGCTCGGACGACGGCGTCGTGCAGGCTGACAATTCTTGCTCTTGTGATCAAGAGAAGATTGCTGATGAAGCGGGAGTTATTACCATTGCTAAGGGTAAACGCCTTGGTATCACGCTGCGCAGCACGGCCAGTATGCCCTTGCATGTTTGGGTTCTCTACTTTGACTACGAAGACTTATCCATCAGTGAGTTTGTACACGACTCATAAGTGAATGTGGGCTCATACTTTGCAGAGGAGCTCTACAGACCGCTGATTTGGGGTGTTTACGGAAGTCCTTCCCTACCAGATAAGGGTAGTTTGAGGATTGGGCATTGTTCTGGCGAAGGGTTGCCACTCAATGCGGCGACTCACGGGCACAAGAACTCACGTGTGGGGTTTATCAAGATCATTCTGGCGACGGCTCCTTTTGATGTCTCCAGCTTTGAGCAGCTATCACCGTTCGACGACAGGAGGCCCCGTCACATTCGGAGCATCCCTGAATCTTACCGTCTCATCTCGGACACGATCACGATCAAAGTTGTACTAAAGGATGTTGATATTGAAACTTGAAGACTTATGTTGCATTCTTCTGCTCTAGTTGGAACGATATTACAGCTGTTTTCGAGAACCTTGTGAGAGCGCGCGTTTTTGCGCGCGCGCGCGCGCGGACGACTCAGTTGTGAAAGAGCTTGCACGCACCTTATGGCGTATGGCGGTCAGAACGTTCAAAACATCAGAGCGCCTGCGCGCGCACCTCCGCGCTTGCCGCGCTACGTATCCTGCGTCCCCGCGCCTCTGTCCTCCCTCGCCAGTCTGCACGCCGCTCCCTTCACTCCATGTTAGATCTGAATCTGCATAGAAAATGCGTCCTGCGATGTTAGCGCTGTGTGAGATCGACCTGAAGGCGACGACGTCGGACGTGGCGGCTTCGGGCCGCGCGGTGACGCGCCCACGTGGCTTGCCGCGTGTGCCGCAGATCGCGTCGTCCTCTCGGTCCTGCGACTCGTAGCTTATTGATTTACACGACGTATTCTTCTCGCAAGATCTCTAATAACTCAGACAGCTGGTAGCTCGTGCCCTATTCATGTAGTAATAGCAATGGGATGAACTATTGAGAACATCTTTATTGTGACAATCAATGCATGAGACTCGTACTCTCACGAACAGACATGTGAGGATATACGGGGTGGACTTCAAGCTCTGCTATGTAAATCAATAAGCTACGAGTCGCAGGACCGAGAGGACGACGCGATCTGCGGCACACGCGGCAAGCCACGTGGGCGCGTCACCGC